ACAACTGCTAGTCATATGGCTCCTAGCCTTTATACTACTCCACATGTTCTTAACAATATTACTCTACAGTTTATGACCTCTCTAGCATCAGATCATTCTACAATTGCTCCCATTAGGGTGGATAATCATATTTCTCTTGTTATTACATCAGCTCTTCATTTAGCAATTCAGTCTTCGGACCCTATCAACAATGCTCCTATGATGGTTAGTTCTACATACTTTGATCCTCTCTTGGCGGATATGTTAGAGAGGCCACAAGGCTATATGGAGCCAGATGTTCAAGTTATCTCTGCACCTTGTTAGAGGAATATGGAGGCTTTTTTATCTACAAATCCTTCAGATTTTGATTTTTTTTTTCATATTGAAGTTCATCAATAGGGTTCATATCTTCGATCTTTTACTAATGACTTGGCAGGTATGGCTGGTAGGATAGAGGATGTTGGTTTTATCCCAGTTGGTCTGAAAAGAAATTCGAAAGCCACTAATATTTCATTTCCTAGGATGGTGACCAAGAGTCGGTCATACTATACCTCGTCATGCACATCCAAATGAGTACCATCATATGGAATATGAGAGGTGTAGCTACTTGCCGGCCCCTGAAGAGACTTATAAGCTTCATCAGGTTTATCTCTTGGTTATTCTGGAGCCTTTTGTCCTTCAGCATGGATTTGCATACATTCGACGATATCTGTGCTTTGGCACAGGAGTTCAGAATGAGTCGAACAAGATCTAATTTTTTTGGAACGCGAGGACTACTTTTACTGTTATTGTTGATCATCCCAGTTTCTTTACGTTAGAGTTGAGGATCCCAGACTAGCGCATCTCATCTATCTAATTCATGTCTATGCTTTATGTGACGTAGCTATCAGGAGGGATTTGTCGGAGGGTATTCACCAGATTTTCCTCGATATGGATGACCCTTGGTTAGTTGGGGGAGACTTTAACGTTATTACACATGATGGTGAACGTACTGGTCATAATACTGTTTATCGAGGTATTACCACTTTCTCTGATATGATGTTAGATTGTGGTTTGAAGGACGCTAGTTTCCTTGGGAATCTGTATACTTGGTCCAACGGTGGACTCGAAAAGAGACTGGATAGGGTACTCATTAATTCTACACCTGCAATATTTTGTCGACAGCTTATAGTGAGGCACTTGAATCGGACTGAATCGGACTTCATCTGAATTCGACTTTATTACTTCAGTAGGTTTCTGATGATGATTTGGGGCCTAGACCTTTCATCTTCCTCAATGTATGGACCAAGCATTCTGATTTTTCATCCTTTGTTGCTCAGAAGTGGTTGCTACCTACTCATCTTACCGGGATGGCTACTCTTTGGGAGAAGTTCTTTAGGCTGAAATAGGGACTGCGTTGGTGGAATCGACATGTGTTTGGTGATATTTTCCAACAGGTGCAAGATACTGAGGCTAGGGTGAATGAGGTAGAGACAATATATGATAGAGACCCTACATCGGAACATTGTAACCTATTACATCATTCCTAAACAGTTTTGAACCGGACCTTATCTATTGAAGAAGGTTTTTGGAAGCAAAAGGCCGATTCATGATGGGTATGTGAAGGTGATCACAATACTCGTTATTTTCATACAATGGTTCAGGGACGTCAGATCAAATCGTATATTAGGCCCTAACAGACAGGAGAGCACTTAGATACTCCTACTGACACTCAGACTTCAACCATTGCATTCTATCAGGATCTTCTATCTGTTCCTACACAACTGATGGACACTATTCGTTTTGATATCATCCCCAGGCTTTTAACGGAGGATGATAATTTGGCACTAAATCGCATCCCATTGATTCGTGAGGTACGAAAGTCAGTGTTTAGTATAGATGTTAACAGTGCTGCTGGACCGGATGGATTCTCATCCTTTTTCTTCCAACATTGCTAGGACATTATTCAGGACGATGTATACAGAGCAGTCTTGGACTTTTTTAGCGATGGCCATCTTCCACAGGGTTTTGCTACTACTACTGTAGTATTGCTCCCTAAGAGAGATGATGCTTGTAGATGGATCGACTTCAGACCCATCAGTTTATGTACTGTGCTCAATAAGCTTATTACTAAGCTTTTGAACACTAAATTGAGTACACTGTTACTATGCATTATCTCTTCTCAACAGAGTGGGTTTATACTTGGTCGCCTAATCGGGGATAATGTTCTATTGGTTCAGGGGCTTCTCCATACTTTGGATGATAGAGTGAGAGGGGATAATACTATGCTGAAGCTAGACATGGCTAAAGTATATGATCGCATAGATTAGGGATTTATTTATTCTGTACTAGACACCTTTGGATTTGATCATATCTGGATCTCAGGCGGTGCATCTTAGAATGTCATTTTTCTGTACTCCTAAATGGCTGCCCATGTGGTTCTTTTCCCTCCTCACGAGGGCTCAGACAGGGAGATCCTATCTCGCCATCCTTGTTCATCATAGCTGCAGACTACTTTTCACGCCTGCTCACTCAGAGGTTCCAGGAGTATCCAAGTATGTGTTATCAACATGGAAGTAGTAATATTGTCTTAAACCTTTCATTTGCTGATGATATGATCATATTCGCGCAACGGTCAAAAACTGTCTATCAAAAGGATTCTGAGTTGTTTGGAGCATTATGAGGGGGTTTCTAGTCATTTGGTGAATAGGGACAAGAGCGGACTCATGCTACGCAAACAAGCATCTACTAGTCAGATCAAACGATTGGAGATTTGGACTGGTTTTCGACACCAGCAATAACCTTTCATTTATGGGATTTCCCTTATTTAAAGCGACCAAGAGAAGCTTCATTTATGATGACCTTAGAAGGTTAGGAACAAGATTTCAGGTTGAGGCTTCACGACTTTTATCATATGGGGGCCGTATTACTTTGCTAAGGTCAGTACTCTCCTCCATGCCATTATACCTTCT